AGGTTTGTAATGTGAGATCTCTCAGAGTGAATTTACACAACAGCCCCTGACTTTATTAATTCATCACAACTAACTCAGTCTTCACGTGTCGAAAAACAAATTGCTGACTTCCCATGAATTCCAGCATCTACTTACACTCTGCCTTGAAAGTTGTTCGCTGTGAAATTATTCCAGGATTTCCAAGACCGTCCGGCCAGCATGGCACAGAGGTGCACACGCCACACTATGTACGTATATGCACACACACAGAAACAGTCACCAGCTCACCTCTTCAGGATTCCGCTCGGGTCACTCCAACAACAATCCAGTCTGCAAGGCCTAGGCTGCCAAACACAGTTTGAAGGAGCCTCCAGGAGGCCAGCTGGCGACAGGCTGCTAGATAGGTGACTCCGCGAGGTCTTGAGGAATGACGGAGGCCTTGAGACATTGTCTACCTGCTTATCCAAAGTATCTCCCCAGGTTGCCTCTCGATGCCTTTCCTGAAATCCCTTTTCATATTCACAGAATGGGGAAAGTTTGTATAAACATGGCTCATAGGCCTCGGCCTATAATACATTGAAACTCTCCAAAGCAGATCCCTGGCAAAATCACCACCTTCCTGCAAGAAGTCTTTCCCTCTCCGGCTGCACGAGCCCCAGCCCCTCCCCAGGCCGATCTCCAAATTCCCAGAAGGGCAGACAAGTGAATTACGCCATCACGCGCAGGACGGTACGACGTGCACCGACCAGCCAGGACGTGTTTAGAGCCTGAACCTATTCCAAATGAAGAGTTGTCAAATTTTCAAGAAGGGTTTAATTTTGTTATTTCATCGGGTCTCAAATTCTCAGATCAGTGACCTGCCTTTTTAAATCAGCACAGTGAGAGCAACAGGGACGGAATTAAGAGAGGGACGAAGCGTGGGTCAGTCTCTCAAGCAGTTCCATCACAACTGGGACCTTCAGAGTCCCCAACTAAATCAGCTTCATCTGGGGGAATTAAGCGGATTTGCCACTAACTAGACGATCGCCCCCTGCCCCGTGTGAGAACGTCCACACTGCCCTAAAAACCCGTTGCGGAACTACTTGTCTTTTGGTGGGAGCACCTATGGGGCAAACTGTAAGTGCTGGTGGCCATTGTCTAGAAAGCATCAATCACACACAAACCGGTCAAGTGATTCTGAAACAGTATCCGTCAGCGAACTGGACTCCCTTGATTTTCTCACTGGATTAACCATCATTCTGTCAAATACCAAAAAAAAAGGTCCATAAAACTGAAGTGTTCCCATCAGCAGCCACGAGATTATTCCGAAAGGAAACAATGACAAGCCAATGTCATTAGTAGATGAGAGGCTAAAAGCAATACATTAAAAACCTGTATTAAGAAGGTTACATGCAGTCTACAGGTCGCTGAAAGGGCTGAAAATCTCAGGTATGAGAGAGCGAAGTATAAAAAAGTCAAGGAAATGTCCACTGTAAAAGTAACAGGCCCAAGCTCTTAAATTTTTTTTAAAAAAATTATTTTAAAGATTTCATTTATTTATTTGAGAGAAAAAGAGAGAGAAAGCATGAGCAGGGGGAGGGGCAGAAGAAACAACGATTCCTGCTGAGCAGGGACCCAATACTAAGGCAGATGGTTAGCCAAGTGAGCCACCCAGGTGCCCCCCAAGCTCTCAACTTTTAAAAAAAGAAACAGATTTTATTCATTCATTTGACAGAGGGAGAGAGACAGTGAGAGGTGGAAGGAACACAAGCAGGGAGAGTGGGAGAGGGAGACACAGACTTCCTGCTGAGCAGGGAGCCTGATGTGGGGCTCAATCCCAGGACTCTAGGATCATGACCTGAGCCAAAGGCAGACGCTTAAAGACTGAGCCACCCAGGCACCCCTCAAATTTTGGGGAATATTTTGCTGGGCCCCTCTAGTTCATTGAAGACGCTTGTGTGTGTTGATAGAAATAGCTAGCATACCTCCAAGCAATAATCTTGTAAAGCATTATCATTGCCCCCATTTTATAGGTAACAAAACTGAGTATTCACAGGGCTTAAGGAATTTGCCCAAGTTCACAGAGCTAGCAGGACAAAGGCAGCATTGGAACACAGCATTGGCTGTGCGACTCCCAAGTGCACTTGACCGCTACCCTTCTATGAGTTCGGCCTCATCCCGCCGTGTAACTTTTGGTGGAGGTGTGACATTATTTGGGCTGAGACAGAGAAGAGGACCAATTAGAAGTTATAAGGAAAAAAAGCTGTCCTGGCCCCAAAAAGGCTAGTTCCAGACTCATGATACTGGATGCCCCTGCCTTCAAGCTTTTAGCCTATAATCAACCCATATTGAAACCAGATTTACGAGCTCTTCAGAGGAGAGCTTTGTGATTTTCTAAAGCAGACATGTTTGGTATTTTAGAAGGTCAAACCCCCTATGGTGCAGTGTTTTTAATAAAATCAGTTCAGCAGAAATTAGAGACACACCAGTCAATTCCTAGGAAGCCTCTGAGCCATTCAAAATAAGGGTGTGTGTGTTGGGGGGGGTGGAAATAACATAAAAGACATAACCACATACAGATCAATTTTTTCAAAAGGGAGAGAATGGGAGGGGGGTAGATATAGAAACATCATGGCAAATTTGGTCCCATTTGTCTCTGGTTGGGGCAAATTTCCACTTAGAAAAAGAATCTTACTTGGGGGTGGGGGGTAGTTCTTTGTCAATATTAAACAAGGGCTGTTCCTGGTTAGCTCGGCCTTGTCCTGTCACCTCAAAGTAACAGTAAACATCTCCAGGAGGGAAAAACAAACACAGCAGTCATCACCTTACTTACATCACCCACTCAGGTAGGTAGTTATTTCATGAAGGGCCCTTTATCTCTGCTCTTGGCAGCCTCTACGCTCTCACAGGAAAGCAACAGGAGAACCTATATTTAGTTCTTGGTAAAAATCAAAGTTGAGAGACCCGCAGTATTTTCGTCGAAAGGCCGAGTTATGCCCAGAACTGCCTTTTAAGACTGGTGGCGAGGGCGTGCGCAAACACTCCGTGAGTAAGTATCTCATTTATGAATACAACACGAGAGGGGCACAGGGTTCGTCTTAGGAAGACTCGGGAATAGGAATAGCCAGTCGATTATGCGGCAAGCACGTGAGCACCCGGACCCCCAGTCTAGCGGTGGGTGGCAGGTGCACGATTGCCCCCCACCCCAGAACAGGATGGGTGTAAACGGCCTCGTGAATTTATAGTAAGAACAAGACGCAGGGCAGCAAACACTGAACACAGAAGTGGGGGCATTTTGCATTCATCTTCCAGTAAATGTCTGTGACTTCAGTGCCTGGAGGATGGGGGTTTACTGGTTTCCAAGTGATTCAAAATACGGGACTTCAAGTCCTTCATTGCCTTTATTTAACGAGTTGCTGAGTTCTTAGTTAACTGGTATTTAGAAGAAATGGGGTGAGTAAGACTAACAGACACCGGCTGCTCGAGGCGTCTCTGAGCATGCTTGACCGCTGTACGTGACAGCAGAAGGGGGAAGGGGCAAGAAGGCTTTTCATCTTCAAGATATCAAACTGCTGTAATTTGATCTGGAGCTCACAGTGGAGGTAAGGGTCGAAACTCCATCAAGGGGCAATCTCAGTGAATTGTCTTCTCTAGAGGGGTTTGGATGGTTAGGCCACAATTCTCTGGCTCCCTTGAAAAGCAACACACCAAAAACTTAATACCCTTTATAAACTGGAAGTCACGCGTGCAAGAACTGTCATTCTCAAAAAGCACAATACGAATGCCGTCATTTATTAAAATGTGTATTTATTCCATAGCCTACTTTGTATGGGGCTGTGGCCTCTTAATTATTGGATAATCTAGGTACTCGTTTTTTTAGACTAGTCATTTCGACTCCGATTCTTCCATGAACTTGGCGACTGCATCTGTCTTAAAGGACCCAAATTATGCTTATCGTAAAATAACCCCCCAAATATGCACACACACAATCTTTTAACACTCAGTAAAAGAAAACCCCATCCTCACATATGCAGACTAGAGGTTCATTTTTAAGCAGAAGTTTCAAATATACAAAAGAATCAGGAGAGAAAAAAAAAAAAAGAATCCTAGGTGACAAATTCTTCTCACGTTTAGGATAACAAAGACCTATTTGGGGGGGCAAGTACACAAACATGGCATGGGTTTGAATTCAGGCTGAGCAGTCTTGCCAGACAGAAGGTCCTACAGGAGTGAAAACACTGTTACTCAGTGTGTCAGCGGCTGAAGTCAATGTGGGGGGCATAGGACCCTAGTGTTCTTTAAATCTCAGTTGATACAAATAACCTCAGTATTGCAACCCTTTCTAAACACTGAAAAAAAATATTAGTATAACACTGCATTGAAGGAAGGTTTGAAAACTAGGAGCATGACACAATCGAGTTTGGCTAATTTGGGATCCAAAATACTTAATTTGGTCTGAGACAAAAGCCAACTGATATGGTAAATCAATCCAAACGTAGTAAAGGTAGACAGTGACTAAGTAACTACGAGAAGTTTTGTTTAGCGGGCTTGGTTTGGTTTTTCTTATTTGGTTGGAGGTAGACACATTTTTAAAAAGCATTTCAGAGCAACTGAAGTTGATGAATATGACCTTTTCTCAGCTCCAGACATGGATCCACCATATCCCACCTGGTCTGAAGAAGTTTTGGATTTCTCATAGGTGAAAGCTAAAAACCAGGGTTATCCTAACACCTAACAAAAACACGTGGGTAAGACACTGAATGATGGGCAGGACACATTTGGAAATTCTCCACACTGTAAGAAAACTACAAATATGCAGGTAAGGACAAACAAGATCTTGGTCTTGTTTAAATACAAAAAAAAAAAAAAAAAGGCAAAACAAAACAAACAAAAATCAAGCCAAATCCTATAGTTGAGACCCTACTATGAGCGACAACAGATCTTCATTTGTATAATTAACATGAAGTTTCTTACACTTCCCACTTAGTTTTTAATTTATGACAAGACACCGCTAAGTTTCAGACAAAATATATATATACATGTATATATATATATATTTTTAAATCTTTACAATAAATCAAGATGTTGGAGCTTACACAGAGCACATTTTAGTTTATTTAGGTACTCAATTCCAGCTCGCTCAGATGCAAAACCCTGGTAACAGTGTGTACGAAGTCTTCTCTTTGCTTTTTATAATTTTAAAGCAAATAATACATTTGACTGTATTTAAGAGTCTGTGCAAATAATCCTTCAGAAGAAATATCCAAGATTCTGTTTGCAGAGGTCATTCCGTCTCTCAAAGGTGATTCGGTGAGTTCCTTTTTCTGCAGATAAAGTGCTCCTGTCCAGCAGAACCCCAAGCCTTCCAGCGTCCAAGAACTTCGTTTTGGGGTCAGACCCCGTCATACGAACTCCAGCTTCCCGTGCCCGCTGTACATGCCCCAGTGGACGAGTGAGAGGATCTTGTCGTTGCTGAGGTCCGCTTGTCTCATCTTGTCACAGGTCAGACAGCAGTTCTCGTGGCCGCTCACGGGCACCATGCACTCCAAGTCTAACTTGGCCACCTGCCCCTTTTTGGAATGGTGTCCGTGGAAGCTGTAGTGCAAACGGGACAGCATCTGCTGCCGCTGATCCTGCAGTCTCTTGTTCTCACTCCGGAGCATCCTCAAGGCCAGCATGATCAGCAACACCAGAATGAGGCCACCGGCGATGGGCACGGCGATCACGGCCGCCCGGAACCACAGCTCTTTGGAGGAAGTCAGCTCCTGCACTTTGGTGATCAGGTTCCTGCCGCCGTCGTGCTGATAGCGGTTTCCTTGTCCTAGAGCAACACAAACGCGTGAGCAGACTGCGGTTACGCCCTCCCACCGGGACTTACGATCATCTATCCATCTGCAATGAGATACCCCGTGAGAAGCAGCTTACGGTGAAATCAACACTATTTACAAATGACACTCTGCCCAGCGGTGCAAAGATCGGCTTCCGAGAACAGTCTGTGTAGGGACTGTCATTCCTGAACAGGAAGGGTCTTCTGGGTCTTCCAAAAGTGGAAAAGCCAGGCAAAACCTATCATGCAGACAGACATCTCAAGCTCAGGCAGACACAAAAGCTACTCAACAGAGATGCATCTTCGCATCCACAGCCAGGCCTCTCCCCCTGGTGTCTCTAATTACATTAACAACAAAATCAATAGCAGACATACAAGTCCTGGCCGCCGCGCGCCAGAGGAGGCCGGCATGCTGGTCCGAGGGGGCTTCTACCTACCTGAGGCTTCCCCCTTGGGAGGGGCGAGCACATCGTGCAGCCCTCGGTAATTGCACATGTCTTCGTGACAGCATTCCAATGTGGGCACGGCGGTGCCAGAGTGGTTTCGGGCCTGTTTGGCTTGGCAGAGGTCTGCTGTGCTTGCGAGAGAGTCCAGGCAGCCATGGGTGAGCGGGGAGTTTGTGTTCTGAGGATCGAGAAGCCTGGAGAAGCAGGCATTCAGCTCGGATTTACACATATAGCCGGTCGCCACGCAGTGAGCAGCATCACAGTAGCATCTGATTTCACCTGAAGACAATGAGAAATTGCGTCACGCGCCTTCCTGAGCCCAGATCAAGCCTCCACCTGGGCATCTGCTCAAGTTCAAAGGCATGAACTTCTGGATATTCAGCTGAGCGCAGTGGCAGCCCAGGGCAGACTTGGGAGAGCCCTGGGTGCAAGAAACGTACTAATCCCAACTGCAGAGAATCAGAGTTCAATTGCGATTTCTGAGGAGTTAGCGGGTTAATTCAAAATATTACTTCTGGATCTGAAGGAAAAGAATCATCACAAGAAATTCTCCTACCGTAAGGTGAATTACACTGTTTATTCACTTTAATCCTACGTAACCATACAACATAAAAATGCCCGGCTTTTTGATTTTGTCAGTATAAATATTTGATCGGAACTACTGAATTGTTTACTACCTTAAAGAGCTGTGCCAAGATTTAAGAGCTTTAGCTAACACCTTATAAAGTTATTAACTAGAAACACAACAATCTAGAAATCGCTCCGGTCAGGAGGTTTTAAAACTATGAAACTGGGCAGGTATTTGCAACCTCTCCAGAAAAGGCAAACTTTGGCTATAAAGATCTTTTCATGCAGAGGAGCTTTTAGTCAGTATATTGTAAAACAGGAACTAGGCAGTTTACAATTAGTGGTTTGCTTGCCAAAGTCAATTTCTTTCAGCCCAAATGGAAAGTCATAAAACTGGGGGCGGGGGTGGGTGAGGAGGGGAGGCGGGTGTAAAAGCTAACTTCTCCTCCCCTTAACTCCCCAGTTTTACATGTAATTCAACATGGGATCTAAAAGGGGAAACACTGAAACTGAAAATCCTCTGCCGGTTGAATGAAAAATCCTTAAGGAAACCTCAAATTTTTCTCCAGGAAGTGATTACAAGTTTCCTTTATAAAACTTATTTGGGGAGTTGCAAGTCGCTGGTAACATTTTGCTGCAATGCATGCTTCTGAGGCTTCTAGCATCCTCCTCTAGTTGAAATGATCTGGGTCTTAGAGAGATCACCAATAGTACATCTGACCCCGTGGGCTCTGGTCACTGTCAGATACCACAACTAATGCTAATGTAAAAAGAACTGAGGCACACACCTTTTCCCAGCTCCCCGATGAGAAGTTCTAGTAGTTACTGAAACCCCGGCTCTGAAATTAAACACCAGGGACTGTGGTTTTATAGACCTCTTCCTACCCTCTCCTTTCTTCCTCCTCCTCCTCTCTGCAAATGAGAACGCCTGAGTGAGGTGTCTCATTTAATTATCTGTCCAAATTCCAGGCCACTGTATGGTATGCTCGGGTTTTCATCAGACGCTAATGCTTTCATTCTTAAAAAAAAAAAACAAAAAACAAACAAACAAAAAAAAAAATGCCTTCCAGCTAATCACAGATCTCTGGCAATTTGAGTTTAACTGTCCAAAGCTGGAGGTCCTGCTCTAGCCTCAGTTGGCGAGCTCCCTGGTCTGTCCCACTCTGGGCCAAAGTCCCTTCTCCAGGAAGACCTTCAAGTTGGAACCTTGCTTTTTAAGATTTTTTTTTTTTTTTTTAATTTATTTGACAGAACACAAGTAGGCAGAGAGGCAGGCAGAGAGAGGGAGGAGGAGGAGGAGGCAGGCTCCCAGCTGAGCAGAGAGCCTGACGCGGGACTTGATCCCAGGACCCCGAGATCACGACCTGAGCCGAATGCAGAGGCCTTAACCATTGAGCCACCCAGGCGCCCCGAACCTTGCTTTTTAGAGGTTCTCTCTCCTCTTTCCAAGCTTACTCGACGCTTTGCACAAAGCTCACCAGTCTTATGTGGTGATGACTACGTATCCCTAGCCTGACAAATTCCACCAACAGATTTAAAGTAGAAATAAAACAGATTCAAAGTCCATTTTGATCCCATGCACCTCAAACCCAGTGCAGAAAAAGAGCACTGAATGAAAAAAGAAAAAAAGAGTAAAATGTTTATGAGAGCCTATTTAAAATACTGTATTTTCAATGACCTAAAACAGTCTAATAAAATTTTGACAGGTAACTACCAAAGTTCTAACAACTTTTTTTTTAATTGGAGCCACATTTCAACAAGTTGAATGGACTTTTGTATTACTGTATTAAAACTATATTTCTGTAGTTTCATAAAGTTTCTTCCTGTGGCATGCAAAAGGCCCAGAAAGGGGACTGGTATTTGGAAACAGTGAACAATGCTCTTCTGTTTCCCCCCCTTTCTTGTTACTGTATGTAGTGATTAAACAAAAATGTCTGCTTTAGTCAAGATGGCTACAGGAGAGACTGCTGGCTTCTTTTAAAGCTTTTGAAGTCCGCAGCAGTCAGAAATCTCTGATCCCCTAATTATATCATTATCAGGCACATAGTTTCGGTATCTGTGACTTCATGTCAGCCTCAGTCCCTCCCTGCTCTGCCCGCCTTTGATAGGGCCAGGAGGCTCCCCTCTGCAGGCTACCAGGGCTGTTATTTAGGGTTAATTACACCCTTCCTTTCAAAATAAATAAATACCGTAGCACAGCATCCTTCTGGGCTAGCTTATCCTTTAACCTCATGCCTGCTACATGGCAATTAGAGAAGGGGGGGGGGAGTGCAAAAGCTAAATAACGCTTCCCATTTAAAAAAAAAAAAAAAAAAATCATCTATTCGGAGAACAGTAAGGAGAGTTCATGGCGGGGGAGGCGGGGGAATCCTTGAAATCTAGGAGTTTGGGTTATTTCAACCTAAAAGGCGAAAGACTGCAGGGAGCAAAAAGAAACCGACCTTTTCCTTTTTTTTTTTCCCCCGGTAGTAGTGTAAACCCTGAGGGGAGTGGGAAATCGGACCGCTGGCGGAGCCCACCCCTCCCAGCCCGCGAAGCCACCCATCAGACTCCTGCACACGGAGACACACTTGGGGCACCTTCTTTCTCACACTCGCGGGCTTACAAAGACACTGAGAGACACACACGGAGGCACACGCGCGGACGGAGTCACACTTGGGGACGGGAGCCGACCGTCCGCACTCCGGCCCCGCACGGCGGCCCGCAGGGTCGCGGGTTCGGCGCGGCCACCCCCAGCCGCGGGGTGCGGAGGGCGGCTGCGTCCCCGCGCGCACCACGGCCCCGCTTCCCGGCTGCAGACGTTCAGGAAAGTTCGCCGCGGACAGACTTACAACAACATTTTGACAATCACTTGCCCCGAGGTCTGACTCCACCTCCACGCGCCGGCCCCGGGACACCCGAGGGGGGGGCGGCCGCGAAGCCACCGCCGCGACTTCTAAGAACAGGCAACTTGTCGCGACCTGCGGGATCCAGCGCGGGAGGAAGCCTCGCCCGCTGCTAACAAAGCCTTGGCAGCCGCCTTCAAAGGCCCGCGGCAGCGGCTGCCCCGGGACCCCCGCGCGCCCCTCCCCGGAGAGCCCGCGCCTCGGCCGGCCGGCGGGCACCCACCTTTGGTGAGCAGCACGGCCATGGCGCAGAGTTCGAGCTGCAGCCAGATGAAGATGTAGCTGGAATGGCGATCCATTGACGCCCCCCACGGCCGCGGCGCAACTGCAGCCTACGGCTCCCGGAGCGCGCAGGGCATGGGGGCTCCCCGGGGCGGCGGGAGCCGTCAGCGACCGGGCGAGGAGCCGGGCCGCGGCCGGAGCATGGAGCGCGGCTGGAGGGGCGCCGAGCAGCCCAGAGGACTTTCGCGGCCCGACTCCGCGGCCACCGGGGGCCCCTTCGCTCGGTTCGGCGCCGCAGTCCCGGGTGGGCTATGGGCCTCGCTCCCCCTCGGCCGGCCACTCCGCGAAGGAAGAAGCTCCCAGAGCGCGCGCCCAGACCGCCAGCCGCGAGCTCCAGCTTGCGCCCGCCTCTCCCTGCCCTGATCCGCGCCGTAAATAGCGCCCCGCGCCTGGAGCCGGCCAGACGCCGCCCCGCCCCCGGGCCCGCCCCTGGCCCCGCCCCGGCAGCACCGGCGCCGCCCGATTGGCCGCCAGGCTCCAGTCGATCATCTCCGGAGCCAGGAGGCGGGCCCAGAGGGGGGCCGGGTGGGACCTGCCCCGCGGCTACTAGCGGCGCCGGCGTCTGGGGCTGAGGGCGGGGAGGCCGGCGTCTCCCGCGCTCCCCCTCGCGGAGGCCTGCGCGTCCGTGACCTTCGCGAGGCGCGGGTCGATCCTGGCCGCCGGGTCTCTGGCACTCGCCTCCGGGACCTTCACAACTCAGACTTGGGCCGGCGTCCCCCATCCCCTGGCTACTTTCTTGTTGCCCCCGAAACGCGCAAGGGACCGAGGGGTCGCTAGCGGAAGGCCTCCCGGGCCACGCTGCGCGCTCTAGGAACCCCAGGGACAAGTGGCGGTCCCCCGGCGTGCGCCATCTGCCACGGCGCCCCTGTCGAGCCCTGGGGGCTCGCGTGTGGCCGAGAAGGGGGTTTCGTCGGGGAGCCCGGAAGGGGGGCGGCCGGGGGCGGGGGTCTGCTTTCAGCCTTCTCTCCCCTCTCCCTCTCGGCGCATCCGCCTTGAGCAGCCCGCCCTCTGATCAATAAAGCCCAGACAGACTGTTGATCAGTGGGGGCCGCTAAGTTCTCCTGGGGAGACAGGGGACGAGGAGCCGGCTAGAGACACTTAACGAAAATTAGCAAATCCAAAAGCACCCGGCGCCAGCGAGACGACACAGGCCGAGACTGACACTCAATTAACCACCCCCCAAACAATCGCAGGCAAACACACCGGCTGACCCTGATCAATATCAGCCCCGCAGTGATCTCCTTCCTGAGATACTAATTCATTTATTAGGACTTGCAGGGCTGCCGGCCCCCAACGTAACCAAAGGCAGCCCTGGAGGTTTTGCTATTGTTGTGTTATGTTTTCTTTTGTTTTTACTTTTTGGAGGCTAAATTCAACTTAAAACTCTTATCTGCCGGAATGCTCTTGTATCGTTTCCTCCCATAACCTGAGATTAACAAAAGTCCACCGTTTGAGAAATTTCCTTTTAGGATCAGCCAACATTTCCCTACCAGATAAAATGTCAAGGGGTGGCGGGAAGAGGAAAAGAAAAGCATTTAATGCTAAGGTGACAGATGTGAAGTCAAATCCCTTTGGACCATGGTACAGCAATGAGCTCTGAGGCTAAGAAAAAAAAATCCATGTCTGGAGGACCAAAAATCAAGGTGAACCCAGTAAATTAAAGTTGAAAGTCCCCAGAGGACACAGGATACAGTTAATGAAATTGCCCTTAAAAAATGTTTATATGCAGAAAGAAGAAAATAATTTCATGAATTGATGCTCTGCCCATTACTTCACTAGATCAAAATTGCATCTACAAGGATGGGAGAGAACACTGAGTGGACCTTTTAAGAGGAAGTTAAACTGGTTAGGGCACCAGGTAAACAACAGGTATCTCTCAAGTGGTGGGCTGACCCTTGGTCCTGAGGAGGACTTTGATTAGAACTTCCTGACTTGGGATTCTTTGATAAATTAACAGTTCTAAGGGGCTCACGCAGACAATACTTCTCATGTAATGACACACTCTTTTTTAACTCTAGAGAGTCAATTATTAGCTGAAAGGAAACTTCTAGAGCATATTCATTCAACTATCTCGAAGCGCCCACTATAGGTCAGACTCTGGGGTTGTAAAGCTGTCAGAAGCTAAACGGTAAATCACAAACAATGCAGTGGGACGATGATAGAGATTTATGGGCATAATGTTAGATGCACAAAGAAGAGATAACTAGCCCAGGAAGGTACAGAAGTCTGGATGGTCAGCCGGAAGCAGTGACATCCGGCATGACTCCTAAAGAAAAAAGAGAAGACCGTTACAAGCATAGAGGACCACAGGAACTTAGGTGTGACATTTATTGATTGTGTTGGGGGATGTGGGTGGTCAGTAGGGGATGGGGAGATGGGACTGCAAGTGGTTCTTTGTTGCTGGAGCATAAAATGTGAAGCAAGGAGCAGGCAGAGGTGCCTCAGAAAATAATGATACTTACTGGTACTGCAGATAAATACTTGTTTAAAAGAAGGCAGTGTGGGGGATGGGTTGATGAAAGTTGTATTGCAGGAAACACTTTCCGAGTGCCTTCCCAGCCCACTTCAGAGGAACATCTGCTTTCTCTGGAGGGCGCACTGGAGCCAGACTGGGGGCCTCTGCCCCTCTGGCCATAGGTAGTCACATGATCCTAGCTGGGCCAATGAAGTACTCTCTTCTGGGTGGTTGGCCAGAGATGCTGTCCATTCCTAGAGGTCAATTCACAGGTGACGTTCAAATTCAGAGTCCACCCGTCTGTCAAGAAAGAGAAAAACGACAAACATGTAAGTCCAAATGGATTCCTAGTCACTTGGTGTCACTTCGGTTCCTTATTAAGGTTAACTGAGGCGCCTTAATAAGTTCCCCTTTTTACTTAAGATTCTTTTTTTTTTTTCCTAAATGATATTATTTATTTATTTGACACAGAGAGAGAGATCACAAGTAGGCAGAGAGGCAGGCAGAGAGAGAGGGGGAAGCAGGCTCCCTGCTGAGCAGAGAGCCCAACTCGGGGCTCCATCCCAGGACCCTGAGACCATGACCAGAGCCGAAGGCAGAAGCTTTAACCCACTGAGCCACCCAGGCACCCTTTACTTAAGATTACTTAAGAAAGTCTGTACTTTCACCCAAAGGATCCAAACTATGATACTTGTATTTTATTGAATTAATTTTTATTTTTATCACTCTAGGGTGAATACATTTTTGTTCCAAACACGATTCAGAATAAGAGTTTATGATCCATCCCTCAGACAATGATTTCAACTCTTTTGTTTATTATTATTAGTTTAATGGGCAGACTTTTTAAATGGCCAGAAATTAGTTTGAAGAGAAACAAGTCTGTACTTTGTCTAATGGTTTTGGAGCAGACATGGGCTTTTCAACTAAGTGAATGAGAGTGTTTGAATCCATGTGGAAAGTCAAAATTGGTTTATGGATAATATGTCAATTATGAGGCCATTTTAATAGTTGAGAGAATAGGTAACAATTTTAATTCAATTTAAGACTCAAGGAAATTGCTTCTTTACGGAATTTTACTTGTGTTTTGTACCTAACTCAGTTATTACTTTCCGACACATGGGTTGGTAAGTAGAAGAGAAAATAGTAAAAGCTAGTATCTTTTGGATATTTAAATTAAGAAAGGGAATCAATGACCAAATTTCTTTTTACTCTTAGGAAAGGAATTCTGAATACAGAAGCTGAAACCAGCTACCCATACCTAAGAACAGAATGCTAATTCTGGGCCTGACTGAAATAATTAAATATCATAATAGTTTAATATTATTACTTTCAAAGAGTGTTGTAGATATGTTTTGTCCTCGGATATATATGGATATGTATTATATATAGTATATATAATGTATATAATCACAACACACCACTGTGGCATAATTTTATGGTTGCTGTACACCACAGAATAACTAAATTTTATTTTTTTTTATAAATAACAAAAAGGGGGGTGGTTTATGTCCAACCCATTTCGTTAACAAAGATGTAAATACCAATCTCCGCTTACTCAAATGATGCTGTTGTTTCCCCATGTTACATGTGATCCCCATTTTCAGCAATGCCTCTCTCTTCATAATGCAGATGAAAAATAACTCGGGACATTTTGTTCGGAGAGAAACAGTTGTGTTCAGGTTCCTGGCTAGCACGCAAAAAACTCTTAGAGTCTAGGGATAGAATCTAACATTTCTGCCTGTTATACAAATCGTCTACCAACTAACAATCCACAGAGGTTAGATAACACTCTGAATTCATAGTAGCAGCTTTAAAAAAAAAAAAAGTCATTTGTTCTCGGTGGAAGTTAGGAGTTCAGAAGTGAAATTTGCTTTCAATGGAATAAAGTCAAAGGTGAGAGATTAGCCCAGCCTAAAGGAATGGCTATCTTGTGAAGTGGGGTTTTGTTTTGTTTTGTTTTGTTTTGTTTTGTTTTGCAGGGGTGGGAGAGTTTTTTTCTTCTTTCCAAAATGAACTGACTGCAAAGTCTGGGAGGTAGTGTGATAGGACCTAGAAAAAGCTCTGAAGGTCACATTCCAAAATGCCCACCCTCCCACAAGCTAGCGAAGATGCTATGGGGTCTTAAAAATAACCTGCAAGATTTGTTGGCTTGAGGTTTTCTTAAGAATTTTTAAAACAACTTGGGGCACCTGGGTGGCTCAGATAGTTAAGCACCCAACTCTCGATTTCAGCTCAGATTGGGATTTCAGGGTTGTGGGATCATGCCCCAGGATAGGCTCCGGGCTCAGTGGGAAGTCTGCTTGGCATCTTCTCCCTCCTCTCCCTCCGCCCCTTCCCTCTCTCAAATAAATAAATAAATCTTTTTTAAAAAACGAATTTTTAAGGCAACTAAGTTTAGAATACAGGAAGAAATGTCCCTGTTTAAAGAACATTACTTTATGAACTTAACAATGAGTATTATTCATAATCCAAGAGCATCAAATATATTCTGTATGATCTTTTTTTTTAAGATTTTATTTATTATTTATTCGACAGACAGAGATCACAAGTAGGCAGAGAAGCAGGCAGAGAGAGCGGAAGAGAAGTAGGC